ATGTGGGGGGGGTCTCTCCTCAACCATCACAAGTGTGCAGCATCCACCTGGATGATGCGACGGCAGCCACAGGACAACGGCGCCAGTGCGCTCACCACACACCAGCTACAGGTGGAGAGGAGAGAGAGTCATAGAGCCAATCAAGTGGATGGGGATTATTAGGAGGCCATGATTAACAAAGGCCAGGGGGGCAGTTTTGGCCAGGACACCGGGGTTACACCCCTACTCTTTACGAGAAGTGCCATGGGATTTTTAATGACCACAGAGAGTCAGGACCCCGGTTTAATGTCTCATCCGAAAGACGTACAAACAAACACTGTAGCACTGTCAGAACGGTTTTGAGTCAGTAACGGTCTGAGATACCCAAGATAAGGAAGGACATTTTAAAAAATCTAGTTTAAAACAATTCTCTAATCTTTGTGTTCATGTTGGTTTCGTACATTTTTGGAAAACATTTATACTATTTTAAAACTTTGATTTAATGACTTTAAACATAGTGTATCAAGTACAAAGTGGCAAAATAATTTCATAGCACCTTTATTTTCTTGTTTTGTTTGATATGTTTTATAATATAACTTCTTTTTATACTACCATAACTTGTTTTTTGAGTAATAACAAGCTAAAAAAATAAGTAAAGTAATTTCTAAAATTGAAAACACTTTTTATTCATTTTTATAGTCAACTGAATCACAGCAGGCACTTACACAATTTAGGCTGTTGATTAAACTTCATATTTTCACAGTCAAATGTCATGACATTCACAACATCAGTTTTGCCATATTATCAATGTTGAAAACATTTGTACTTTATAATACTTTTGTGGAAAATGTGACACATTTTTCAGGATTCTTCGATGAATAGAAAGTTCAAAAGAACAGCATTTATTTGACAGACTTTTTTTGTAACAATGTAAAGGTCTTTACAGTCACCTTTGATGATTTTAATGCATCCTTGCTGAATAGAACCCCAAATGTACAGTAATTTGTTAGTGTAGTGTATGTAACTCACATTTAAAAAAT